TCGTGATAATAGTTGTTCTATATGCAGTAAGGCAATGATTCTAGTTCATTCCCTAGACACTATTGTAACTTACAAAATAAAAGTTATTTTAGACTTCTATCATTTATTCTCACCTAGTTATCATGTTTGAAAGTTGACCCTTTTTTTCCCTTTGGGCGTGGCATATATTGGTTACTATGGTAACAGTTCAGTAAAGAAGAGTGTTGTCTTGGTTGAGTGACCACCCTGAACAACACTGTGAAGTTAGATTTTTGTTTTGGATCATTTTTAGGAAAAAAATTTTTTTTAAATAACTTTGAACCTCCACACAACATTGGCAAACACATAGAGAATGTCCTGACAGAACTCCCAGTCCACCTGCCAAGAGAAGAAGCTAAAGACGTAGAAGAAGTCATCAAACTTTCAATGCAAGGAAAAGATACCAAGCGGACTTTTGATTACCGCCATGCTATAGTCATTCTTGCACAGCATTCTGCCAAGATATCATCTCACCGTGTCTGACAGCTCCTGACCTCATTGGTAGAAATTCAGAGGCTTGTATACAGCTCAGAGAACAAAAGAACCCCCAAATCAGCCCTGTGACTCCACAATATGACTTGGTATCATGAGATTGTATGCCAGGAAGTATTTGTTTTAGGCTGAAGGAAATGACAACCCGAAAGCTGTATGGCAATTATTTCCATGACATAACATCTCATGCAGCATCGCTTAATCAATGGAAGATCCACCAATGTTGAAGAGCAAGAAAGAGTGTTTAACACAATCACTAACATCACCAAGGCAACATCTTTTCACCCCAGTCACATCATTGGTAACATCTTTGTCAGACTGCAGACTGAGAAACAGATGGCAGCTTTTCAAAGTTTGTGTATCTCCAAGCAAGAAGCAACTGTTTCTAAGCTTGCATCTTCACTTCCACTATATGGAAATACAATTATTCCACATGAGAACATAGAGAAGCACATCCGATCTTGGCAAGCCCACCTTGAGAGAGTAAGTGATTTTCTGTTGACTGGAAAGGGAAGCTGGTGGATGGACCACAAGAATGGTGACATCGAATGTTATGATGGCGAGAAGCCCCCAGATAATCATGCTGAAGGTCCTTCACTTCATCAATTTTGATCAAGTAATTTCAAAAGTGAAGAGAAATACCTTGAAGAATGTTGGGAGAAATGTATACGGTTGGGTGCGACACTACCTATAAAAGTGTTAAGAATTGAAGATGAGCATGGAAACATGAATGTGGTACAGCATTCATCTGCGAGCAGATTGGAAATGGAAAGTGATTGCAACCTTGAGCCAGAACAACACAATCCTAAATTCATGGACAGTACAATAACAGAACATGAAATAGAAGAATCTGTTGCTACAAAAACAACAGAAGAGAACATTCTAACATTTCAATTGGTCCCTGATAATGTATCAGAATTACAACTGGATGCACTTGATGACAATGTCAATGATGAAAAGAATCAACAAGAGAGTGTTGTTTCTGTTCCAAACACAAACAACAAAACACATCAGGAACCACAAACGATAATCCACTAGACCAGACTACAGACATACATAGGAATGACTCATGCATCACAAAGATTGGGAGGTTTCTAGAATTTGTTTTGGGAAGAACGGCAGAGGTCGTTCGGTTTGACAATGCCCAAAGATCACATGAAGCAAGTGGCAATAATGGAAACAAGGGTATTGAAACAGCAGTGGCATTATAAAGCTTAGTCAATGCGAGAAAGATTTTTTTATCAAGCATAACTGCAAAGTTGCTACTCAAGATGACATTGCCTCATGTCGAGATGCAAAGCCTCTTGTCAAGAAGCTAAAGTATGCTAAAGCTTTGTTGAACAAATTTAAGGAAAAATATAATTAAATTATATTCACTATAGCAGTGGGGTGACAGTTTTAATACAGGTTAATTAAGCAATGCAAATAGTAGCTGTGCATAATTTCTTGACAAAGGGACTTTGCCTGAAACGTTGAAGAAAATATTTTGTTTCTTAGTTAGATAACCTTATAATAATACAGTATTATAAAATGCACAGTTACTATTGAGCCGTATCAGCCAATAGCCATATAGCAATGATCACCGACAAACCACTATTAACCAGGGCTTTAATTGCTCTAGCTGTCCTGCTTTATGTAAATATAGGAATAATTGAAGCCAATTTGTGTAAATAAAATGTAAAAATAGCAGAACTGGCGATCAATATAGACATTTTATTCTTTTATAACATTAAATTTAGCTGGGGTGAGTTATATTAGCTGTGAAAATATATAATAATTGTAAATATTTTAATAAACTCACCTATAAAGGATTCTTGGATCGATTTATACGCTATTCTTTATTCACAGAATATGACGACTTTTGTAAGTAATATATAGTGTATTCACAACATCCAAACCAAACTTGAATTAATATATCCATCAAAACAAATAGAAACGGCTTTTAAATCTGTTTCAAAACTCCATAAACCGACGCTCAAGTTTCAAGCACCCGACGCTTCACAAAAAAACTGGGAACGAATACCTTCTTATATGGGCAAGCTCTCCTAATGAGGCAAGCTATTAAAAGCACGAATATTTGCAGTATATTATTTTAGTTGGCACGGGATTAAATAGTTCCTGTGCATGCCGTAACATGGAACGAACCAAATAAGATGTCCCGCTCTGACTGTGTCCACAAATATAAAAATTTGCTGGCATTTTAAATCTCACGTCCATCGTGTTCATGTGCACAACACACACTGCATTATTATTTGCCGCGTCCGCTCGTTTTATAACCAGATCCGAGAAATCATTCTACAGAAAAAAACTCTCTTCAATTCGATATGCACTTAGATCAAAACTTCTCAATGGGGCCGCAACCAAATGAACTGCCCTACACGTAGTATCTTCAGAGGCATGCATCAAATAAACTAATGTCAGATAGGCCATAGCACGGCCAAGATTGGTCACGTTGATCGTGTTAAAAACATGCATTTTCATTAGAATTAACATTCACTACCATTTGATTGCACAACGCCTCGTGGTGCTCAAGTAAATCATTGACATGATGTGATAGTGTTCTCATGTCAATATCAACGCTCCCATGTTTGGAATTCATCTAGTATCACTTCCATTGCAATAAAACAACTAACATGTGAAACCATTTATTTATATACAACAATTCAACAAACAATTCTTTATCTACATTGGCAACAGATACTAGAACTCATCTAAACGATCCAACATTAAGCTATGACTAGCTCTATCGCATTAACTCTAGGTCTCTTAGCTACATTTTATAGAATAACATTAAAAAGTCTCACGTGAATAAACGTTTTCGCGGGAAAATGCAGAACAAGGTTTACTGTTAAAACATGTTGTCTAAAATGTTAGTCTTTATACTGTTCATGCTCGTAAAGTCATCATTTGCGTATCATTGTATTGAGCTCAAAAGTTTCCATACTCTGGATTGCTCGGGACTGGGTCTTTCCACCTTTCCCCGCTATGCAAGACGGAACTCGGTTAAGTCCTCATTTTGAAAAGAAATAACATTATGCGTGTAAACCTCTCAGCCATTATGATGGACTTTCCCAGAATCAGGTATATTGATCATTGTGACAACCCCCTCGATTGTACCAAACCATTGCGTGCTGAGGTAAACATATCAAGTCACTGCCTACAGTCAAGCTCACAGCACCGGCTACTACATCGCTTATACAACACGGATCCACTCCCGTCACTTGCTTTGCAAGCGTCTTGACCCCTCCCGCAAACGCATCGACCCCTTCTCCGATCAGAACCAGTGAGAATCACATTTTATTAGTGCTCTCAATCCTACCAGCCGGTGCTGCAGCATTCATCATCGCCTGCTTTTACGCCATCCAGAGGAGGAGGAGAAGACGTCCTTCCGTCTATGACAAACTTTTTGTGTTAAACAACGTTCGCAGCCATTTTTCCATTGATTCCCTCTCGTCAGATTCCCTTGACGGTGAAATAAATTATTTGCAAGACAGCACATTTTAATGTCTTGCTATAAACGACAATATTTTTTTTTGCTATTAACTCGTTAAGTTGCAGACTGTTGCAACATTGGCACTCCCCAAGTTGCAAGGAAAATGGCGAATATTAGTTACTGTCAACTTCTGTCAACTGCTTTTACAAAAATACCCATATCTCAAGATCAATGTTATAAAAAACCTTGAAATTTTGCAGTGGGTTAAAATGATAAATGATTAATCAATTCTATTTTAAATGAGCTCCCACACTTAAATATATCATTAGATTTTTGGGTGAGAATTCTTGGTTTGTGTAAATTTAAGTCTCTGACATTTTGTTTCTTCATGACACCCAACATCTGAAGGGCAATAATTCAATAACCCAACATAAATGGAGAAATATTTTTTGATTCCTGGATTGGTACACATTTATTTTCAAATTAGTTTTCATCTTGTAGGGTATAAATTACAAAATAATGAAACGCTATAAAAATTTGCTTGGGCATAGCTCAGGCACACTCAGGACATCTAGTTTACAATGGAGAACTTGAACTTCAGAACTTGTTGTTCAAGTCCAAAAACTCTGTAACCCAAAAACACAGTGTTTGTACCTCTTTGAAGTTTTTAAATAGCTCAAATATGTTTGGAAAAACACGAAGTACAAAAATTACTAATTAAAATATAAACAAAGGATGAAAAAGGTGAGAAAATTTTAAAATATTTGAGGTGTTTTCAATTCTGACTTTGACAGCCGGCATTTTCAAACGCAGCGTGCGGTGACAAAACAAAAGGCTTTTTATTTCGCTATTAAGAGCACTGAAAGTCGTCAAAAAGAGATAAACACTTTTGAATATTCATCAGGTAAGAATTTTAACTGAAATTCCTTTTGTTTCTGTTGAGAAAACAACGGATTTGTGGCTAAAACTTTGTGTGCGCCAATGTAGGTTGCTGTAAAATGTCAGACAGGCGGTTTCTTTTGAAATCTGACTCTAGTTTGAAATCTAGCTGACTCTAGCTTGAAATTGTATAGGACCAATTGTATAAAAATATAATATGTATGCTCAAATAAAATGAATTATCTAATATTTAGGCATTTTAGATTGCTATAAAAGAGTGAAATAAAGTATTTCATCTTTGGTTGTTTGTCAGACGAGAGTAAACACATTGGTGACACTTTGTTGCGCATGCAGTTTTCAAAAGATAAACTGCTAAAAATATAGCTTTTATTTCACCAAATAGCAAAGTATCTTGCAGATATTATTAAAAGAGCTCAAGCGAAGTAATTCCATGATAAATAAGTGAACAATGAGACCAAAAAAGCGACTAAATTACAATTTTGGAAAGTACATAAATTTAATGGCTTCCCGCAAAAGAAGCCATTTCAGAGGAGAACGGCATTTTGTAAACTACTCTCCTGACCTATTTTAAACTTTTCCTTCAGGTAATCGATGAGTACTTCTTAGAAAATGAGCGTACATTAGTTTTATGATGTGCTTTATTGATTTAAAAATTTTATGGGGATATATGAAGCAATAAAGTGTATTTTAGAAGCTTTTCAAATCCCTGTCATGAAGGTTCAGAATTCGCACGCGCCAAGTAACGGCATAATTCAATACACTGATTTTAAACCACATTATCTCTGAAATGAGAGCTCGTTTCGAGACAAAGTTTATAGAAACAGATATAGTATTCATTGTAGAGTATTCTACTTAGTTTTAATGCGGTTTTACTCGAAATTTTTCTTGCCAAAAATGTATATACGCACATGACAAGTTGAACCTACGGTCTTCTGAAAGTACTTCAGCTAAAATAACAACTTGAGCAAGACGACCAACAGTAGGGTCACGAAAACAGTCAAATCATGCCATAAAATGCACGAAAAGTTCTTCTAAAAACTTAGTTTTAAACTAGATTGAATTTGCTTTAATGCTATATCGAATTTCATGAAAACATGCCAGGTATTTTCATTCAAAAACACGCTCAAAAAAATCGTAACTACTCACTTGGATTTAGTGTTCATGTTTCTTGCGATTTCCCACTTCACTTTTCCGTTAGATTGAAAGAAATTGCTGTTTTTCTGGCTGAAAATCGCGCGACTTGATTTGGACAAGAACTTGACTTGAAACATATGCACACTCCCTTATGTTTTACAATATATTTTATATGTAAAACTCTTTAAAAACCACTTCTTTTTCATCCTTAAAACTTGCTGCAAAGTCCTATCTTGTGACACTTTGCGGTTGTCACAGGTTTTGTAAAAAAATAGAGTTTTAAAATCGAAAATCTTTGCAAACTTTTGATCAATTTTCTTGCATGATGTATCGTTTGAAAGCCTGAATTTTGCACTTTATACTTGTGACTGTTGCTAGGCAACCCGATAAACACGCGCTAGACAATAGTGCCCGGAAGTTGACGTGTTATCCAGGGCGCATGAGGGCGCAATGAGACTTACCCCGTTCCCAATTCCAGGGCGCAATGAGACTTAATGAGTTAATGTTCTGTTATCAATAGCAATTTAATTTAGGGTGTGTCCCACATAGTTTGTAATAACTTCCTGTTGAGTTAATTTATAATGACATCTCTGAAGTGATGATTGTATAAAAATAGCTTGCGTACAAAATGTTCTATTGTGAAGGAGACGTGAAACTGACAAAGCGGAATCGGTATCTATGTTTTAATGACCTCTGCTTTAAGTGATTATGTTCTGATAAACACTCAGCTTATAATATATTATCTGACATAAATTTTATACAAAAGTAAACATACATCTACATGCCCTTTGAAACAGTTTGTAATATTAATACGAAATACTATTAATTCTATACTGTTCATTTTAGCGTGCCTATGCATCCAAAATAAGATCCATTCCGTTTAAAACACACTAAAATGTACAGCCCTGTTAAAATCATATATGCAGCACATGTTAAGTGCTTCAGTGTATATTAGTATTCATAAATTGTATGTATATAGTTCTTTTTACATATGTAAGACTTGTGGTCAAAAGTAATGAAAGTAATAGTTATATTTACAATGTAGTGTGGCTGACTCATACCCAGTACCTCAAATGAGCATTAATTAAATGGTGCATGATGGGAATGGTCAAGGGTAAAATTTGAGGGACGGGCAGAACGCGTTCGAAAAGTTGTCAATATAAGTCAAAAACTTGCATGACGTAAAATATTCATCAAAATGGTATTGAATTACATGCAAACAGCATGGCAGAGTCTAGCAAGGCTATGCAAATTGACAAAGAGCATTTTGAGGCAGTTTTAGGATGTGTACACGATGTTTCGGTTGTTGAAGAAGATGGTTCTGGTGTGATAGAGGCGTCTAAGACGGTGAAGCCGAAATCCAGTCGAAGGAGCCTCGATTTTACGGGAAAACACGTGTTAACACCGGAATCAAAGTCTAAAAATCTTCTGAATACAAAGCGATTTCAAATTGGTAAGCAAATATATTTATAATTACTGTAAATACCAAACATTTTCATTTGATACATTGTATTTGTTTAAATTAATACGCACATTATTAAAAGTATATATTTTATATATTTGATACTGTAATATCTTTTGCTGGAGATTTTTATCATATTTTAAAACTATTACAGCCAGGGCCTTCGCAATATTGCTCACCGTAGCTTTACATAAGTCCCACTTGCCCAACCCCCCTCCCCCGTTGTTATTAGGAAAAGTTAAAGTAGAGATGTTAGCTAGGTTGTGCAATGTCTGTCTGTAATAAACCGAGTATATCCACATTACACCACATTACACCAACACACATTACACCTAGATTCTGTTCCAAAATATCACATGCTTGAACAGGCATATTTTTCAAGCTTGCCCGGTGTGGATATACACTCAGAGTAACATCACAAGCATAATATTCACCTGAGTACATTACACCAACACAGAAAAATCACTAAAGCAAGCATTGTGGACAGATAAATGTCAAGCATGTGACTGGTACTGCACCAGCTCCCAGTGTGAGACAGGGCTTTGAATGATATTGAGTTGATGAATTAAGTCATTTTCTCCATACAACAATCTTTTGGCTGTCATATGTTACAGAAAACATGCATTAGAAATGAAATACAGTATAAATGTTTTTTTTCCATATTTGGTTTATACTAGGAGAGAAGCCATCTGGTAGAGAAGTGAAAATAAGGCAAGAGTTATTGGAAGAAAGACTGGAAGAAAGATTTGAAGAGAAAGCAGGTTGTACAATCCAGCAAGTAAAAGCACTGTCACTAGTTGGTGAGGGGAATACTTCTGAAACTTCAAAGACAATGTTAACAAGAGCATTAAAACGGGCGTTCCCTTCAGTGAAAACAAAACGCACACAGGAGAAAGGGTATCCTTTGATAAAATAATCTCTAAGTAATGTTTACAACATGAGCGGCCGTGTTGTATCAGATATTGTATATCTGATACAACACAGACGCGAATGTTGTAAACAACTTAAAAAATGACTCATCTTATGAGTTCATTGGCGAAGTAATTTTAAAAATAAACGTTGTCTAAGCCGAGAAAATCAAAGTTAAAGTTTATGTAAATCAAAGTGAATCTGTATCACATATACAGATACGACATGCTTATGATTTTTCTTTGTGTTTTCTTCATGAATTATTAATGAGTTTTTTAAATAATCTTACAACCAATTTTAGTGCGAAATTAGAAATACTGTATTCTTTAACTCGTGTCACAGGGTCTTTTATGTCAACATTAGACCAAAATCTTTGTTTGCCAGTGTGTTGTATGTAGATTCTCCTGAAAGTAAGTATTGAATCCATAGAGGAATGTGTTACAGTAACATACATTAGACATCATAAAACAGAATGCATATTAATATTTTGTGTTTACAAGGCCGTCAAAAGTAAATCAATATTTTTTGGGGGGGGGGCTCAAAGAATAAATGTGAATAAATCTGAATTGCATTTGCACTTTTCTAGTTTTTTTAGAAGACCATTCAAATCTTAATTTAAGGATCCATGATTGGTATCATACATGATTGACGAATGTATAAATACTTAAAATTCTGGCCTTGTAAATCTATATTTTTACTATGTCTAACACTGGTCAGAAGATTTTACTTGTCAAAGGAAGAGCATTTGCCACTCATTGTGTATGTCATTGTCAATACGAAACAATTTTTTCCAACACGAAACAATTTTATGCATCAAGTGGAGAACACTGCCACTCAATCAAGGAAGTTCGAGAACAGACTTTCAACCATCTTAGGAAAGATTATCTATTCATAAGGGGGGAGGTGTCTGTTCATAAGGGGGGAGGTGTCTGGTGTAACTTTCTTTTCTGATGTTTTTATATACATATTAAACGTGAAATAAATAACCTCAAAATGATGATTGCTGCAACTGATGAAGTCATAACTCAAATATGGGATAAAACTTCAGAAATGACAGCTGAAAATCAAGAATTGAGTGAATTAATGGAAGAGTTTGCAGGAGAAGCTAGAGAGAGGGATGCATTATTTTCCTCATTGATAAAAGTGTATGAGAATGAACTTGTACGGTTGAGATCACAACAAAACCATGACACTTTATCTGAGAAACAAAGACGCATCATTATTGAAGAATTCCAGATTTTAAAAGCTATCACATGTACAGGTGTTCGAACAACCTTTGACAAGACATTGCCAGATCAACAAGTGTTAAATGACAGTTTCTTTAAAGAATTTGTTGTAATATTTCAGGAAAAATGCCCATTGCTGCAGAATGTTGTCGAGACACTTTTGGTTAGCAATCTGCATCAAACAAATATTCATAAGACTGTGGACTACAAAGTTTTATGTGGTACTCATGCTTTGTCATTGCTGTTGAATGTAAGGAGTACAACGGGAAAAAATGATTTTCCACTGTTCTTTGGGCTTTTATGCATCTCGTATGGTGCAGGAAAGCAATTTATCAATATGCTCCACTCCATTGGATTATGTGTTCATTGGGATACAATGTAAATGTGTTGTGCATATACCCTATTGTTTTTAAAAAACTAAAAACGTTTGATGTTCACCCTACTTCCTGCCACAAAGAGCAAGACCCTATCCTTGATCAACTAAAGGTGATGTGGTTTTGTTTGAAGGAGAACGTTATCTCTGATGATGCCAGTGATGATGTGATACATAAGATGACCAAAGAGGGAAATTGTGAGTGTAATGTTCAACAGTCACTGATTGATGTTTATTCGAAAGGCAAATTGAAAGTAAAGCAACAGTTTTCTCGAATGTTGTATGAAAAATTTAATGTATTTGTTTCTGAACAGTCTGATAATGAAAGAATTGACAGTGTATGATTGTCATAATTGAAAGAGATAGTATTACAACAATAGAGAGATTTACAGGGATTAGCCAATTGCCTGTTTTTCCATAATTTCCACGGGTACACTTATAATGTAAACAGGCTATAATCCCGTGAGGAATCGTTAAAGCTATTTGTAGTTCATTACATAACTATTTGTAGTACACAAATTTAAAATCCCTGTCTAAAACTTGTGATGCTTTTTCACCAAGAACAAGGAGTGGTGTCGTTTTAGTGTCTGAAACAGTTCTTAGTTTCTCTGGTAAAATGCCACCAGTAATCAATAAATGAATAAATTTGTACATTGTTTTACTATTAAAGTCTTTAGAACCACTCCCATGATAGAGAGCAGCAATGTCTGGTAAACGGTCATTTATCGAGCCCGAGAAAAATAAAATGTGGTGTACCGCAGGGATCTATTTTGGGCCCTTTATTATTCCTATTATACATAAACGATATGCCTGACTCCTTAAAATATTCAACTCCAT